TGGCTTGTGGCCATGTGTCCGCTGGGAAACACGGGCCAAGGTGTTTCCAGATTTGGGGCGGCATCTGTTGCTGGCATGGATGTCCAGGAAAAGGTTATGAATCAGAGGGCCGCGCGAGGTCATGGAAACTCCGAAAAAACCTTTGTGAAGTGAAGGGAGTTGGGGTACTCATGTGGTGCGCCACTGCTTTGGGTGAAGACGGCTGTAGGATGGTTGTTAGCTTGGCTGCACTGGGAGTTGTTCTGGACGCAGCCATCCGACCGAGTGCTTGCGCAGGGTTGTGCGCCTCCAGTGGACCTTGTTGATCGAGTTGGGGGGCTACGGTTGGATTTGTCACTGGCAGCCTCTTGTAAGTCATTGGTGAAGATGATGGACGGCTGGAAGACTTGGTGCAGGTATTCGTTTGCAAAGGCAAACTCAATCCCCGATCCGGCCTCCTTGGACCAACGGATGCCTTGCAAACTCCGGGCTAAACCCGCCAGTTTTAGTGGGGGTAGCAGGAGCAGCCATGCGCTCTGTTTCGCGCTTGGCGCAACGCAGCATGCTGGTCGCGGCTTGGACGAGTACCCCGCCTCCATGCTCACCGCAACACCTGCGTGCAATCCTTCAGCGTGCGCAGCAACGCATGGCTGCCGAGGCAATGGCGCCATCTGTTGGACATTGAGCCGAACCACAGCGACATGTCCAGCGTGCTGCTGGACGAAGGTTCTCGAGCATTTGTTGGGTGGCAGAACTCATGCCTCATGCATACTAGTTGGCTTGCTACGACCCTGCTGATTAAAAAAGGCTGCCTGCGCTGCGAGCTGTGAGTTTTCTCTGGCTTTGCCGCTGTGTAGCGTTTGAGATAATAAGTTGCAGTCCCGGACACCCCGCGAATCTGGAACTGGAACGGTGTTGGGGCTACAAGCGTTTTGATACGCAGTGCAGTTGCATGGTTTGGGAGCCAAGCGTTAAGTTTGATGGCGGCAAGCTCTGACCGTGTCTTGGGGGAGTTGTGCAAAGTGGTGAGTTTTATAGGTAGTAGATGGACAGCGCCCCCCCCTTGTGATTCCATAAGCGTGGCTGTTGCAAAGTGCCGCTGTGAGGTATGTCCAGTTGTGTCTTGCCCAATGCCGGGCGGCCAGATGCCCTGTAAGGTAGTTTGACTTTGCGGGCAAATCTTTGAGCCTTTCTGGCAAGTTGTTGTCCTGGCACACAGCTTGGCACAGCCAAGCGAGGGTCGAATTTGCAATTCCTAGGGTCACTTGCCTTGCCATGCATGGTTGGAATCTTGACGCTGGCTGTTGTCTTCTCATTTCCTTTCAATGACTTTTCCTTTTCAGCAACGCATGTTCCAAGCATGGTTGAAGGGTAGCAGGAATTTGCTAACGTGTTTTTTTGCTCTTAAAGCACCTAGTTTTCTCGAGAATTCAGCAAAACCATAGGCTACAAATGGATCCACGCGCATTTCGCCGTGATTTGGGCTGGGCGTACACGGACCTCGCGAAGGACAAGCTCCATCTCAGGCACTGGGAGCGGGCGAAATGGTGGACGACGACGTCTGAAAGGGGCACAGAAGCACACTGTTGATTGGCCCCCTAAAAGCTTCCTATCTTGTCAAGCCCTCCGAAAACAAGGTTACGGTGCCGTTTTGCCCGGGGCTGGTGCCAACAACCAAGATTTGGCCTGTAGGTGAAAAAGGTCCTGAGGGTCCTTGGCAGGCGACGATCGTTGCAAGTGTGGACCTGGCGCCCCCTACCTTTAGCACAGGGGCGGAGAAAACATATTGTCACCCATTCTTTCGAGAAGCCACAAACGCGTTCGTGCGCAATCTTCATGAAAAGCATGACGCCTGGAAAGAATGGGTGAGATACAGCCGCACAAACGGTTTGCCAAACTTATACTTCTTTCCAGGTTCGAAGATCAAGGCTTTCAAATGTAGAACCGGTGCGCTCCCAAAAAAAGCGCTGGCGCGATGAAACGGGTTTGACACGCACGGCGATGAGCTTTGGATATTGTGGGATGTTTGTTCCACAGAAGTGCGCGCTACCAATAGCGTGTTGGATGCTTTGCCAGGTTTCTTCATTAGGATCCCCAAGTCAGAGCGGGAACTGGGGGTCTTGCCAGTGACGGCGTCAACCCTTGAACAAGGGAGACCTAGGTGTTTCAGGTGGAAGCTGCTCTGGCCAATTTCAATCCGCGCGCAAACAATTGTTTCTGGTGTTCGGAGTTTCATTAGTAGGTGCTGCTAGCAGCTTTCTAAATGTGTGGCATAGACAAAGCAGCAACTGGAACTGCGTGGCCCCTTGACACGAAGTGACAGCAATTGGAACTGCTGTGTAGACATAGCTCTTTGGGCGACTTCATACGCACTGGATTTTTTGTTTATATCTGTTGACTAAGCTTCATAGTGGGAGGCTATAATATTGAGTTTTGGCGTTAGAATGGGCCCCCGCTTGGACGTGATGTCAAAGCAAACTATTTGGTAGCCCAGCCATGAACATGCGCACTGTCCCAAGTGTAGCCTCCAATCCGGTGACCTTGTGTTTGTGTTCTGGAAGGTGCCAGCATTCCAGCGCTTTTCGACTGATGTGACACTAGGCGGTTCTCGGAAAGGTTGCTGTGGATGTTGGGTGTTCGCTGTTTGCATTAAATCCTGGGCCGAAGGCTTGTTGCATTGCGGGGGGGGGCTGAAGGCACGGGGCAGGTTGGAGAACTGTGTTGCAAGGGATTTGCGACATATTTTGTCGTTTATCGCCAGAGTTTTCTGAACACACACACACACACACACCCGGGACCTTGCGTGTTCGGTCAGTTCGGTTTACACACTGCGACCATTTCGCGTAGCATGTTCCAATCGCAGAAGGGTGAAGGCTGGCTGTCAGATGATGTTTGTCTGGATGCATGTTGGGGTTATAGGTTTAAGACAACCACGTTTAAGTCCCTTCGCCGCTGCGCGTCCAAAAAAGTAAGGGTGCAGCTGTTTAGTAACTCTGAAGAAAGTGCAAGCTATAATTTTCGTTGGAGAACATGTGCCATTTGACACGCGTTCGGTTTTTTTCTAAAATCCTTTGATTTTTCAAAATCCCCACGCCGTGGATTTTCGAAATTCCTGGCAATAAATCCCTGTTTTTTTTTGAACACCTCGACCTTTTGCCAGGCTCACACATCCTTTGCCTGGCATAGAGCCCTGGACTTGCCAGGCTGGTCTGTCCTGTCACACTCTGGCTCTGCGAGTGACTTCGCAGATCGCGCGTGGGCACGAAGTGGGCCGCTGGGTTGCTTTGATTGAGACGACAATCCTGACATACTGTTCTGTTGTTCTGTGCTGTTTCATGCGAAACTAAAAGGTATGCCCTGAGAAAACACAACACATTTTTGAGGGTAGACGGCGTATGAATCCAAATCGGAGCAGATGTAGGCCAATTGTCTATGATAGTTTGATCACATTGCTTGATCGCATTTCGATCAGCAGTTTGAAGGGACAGCTTCCCGCTCCCGACGCTGCCACCGCCTGTGCAGAGCGCTGCTGAGTGAGGGATTCTGCAAGGTAGTTCTGCGAAACGCTTCTGCGCGGTTCTGCGAAACATGTTCTTTACTTGCGTAGTTTGTTCTGCAAAGGGTTCTGCGAAGTGCTTCGGTGAAGAAAGACTGCGGTGCTTCCAGCCGTTCTGGCACGTTCTATATGGCTCTGTGATTTTTGCTGGCGGGGCAGCACCAGGGCCAAGTGCTCATTTGCTCGGTGCAGGTCTTGAGAACTAACGCCTCACAAACAGCGAGAATGGTGCAAGGTACTTCAAGGAAAGGAGGTACTTCGCCCTTGTTTTGTCAAGCGTGCCCAGCAGGTCGTCGAAGCATCCTTGATGTTTTTGCACGTCGGCCAGGGTCCTCCAGGAACTCTTGGGGCACCTTGTGATACATCCATCCTGTGTACTGGCTGAAGGGAACCACCGTCTTGGCGGGTCTGCATCAACCTCAGCAGCACTCTCTGAAACCATTGGAACAATGATGCTTTCGGCCTCCACCTTCAGCCTCCAAGCTCATCTTCGCCAGCGCGTTGCGCTTCTCCTTCACTGGCTGTGACTTGAGCAGCAGCTGCCTACCGTCCACGATGGGTGCTCCAGGGTGCATCTACCATGTTGATGTTCAGCCCTGTTAGAGGCCACGTTGCTCCTTGGAAAGCAGCTGCGGCCGATCAACTTCCCAGGTGCCTCAACATGATTTGCAAGCTCCAAAAAAGCCGACGTCGCACAAGGTATCACGCCGACTGCGTTCTTCAGCCCCAAAACGTCCAACAGCTTCGCCTTGGTCCCCAAGGGGTCAAACCACGTTTTGCCGTGCCGGTGCACGCATCCGTCTTGACCCAGAAGGCTTGTGGATGTGAGCTACTGAGTCCCAAAGTCTGAAAGCTTACCTGGTGGTTCCGTGCCCAAAGCGCGCCAATAGTGGCCGGCTCAAAAGAAGGGGTGCCCCGACCACCGCGCAGTTCACGCTGGACACTTTCACAGGCAGGGCCAAACTGCAAATGGAGACTGGTGACTTTCACCCTTTTTACAAGAGGGTTCCCCTACTGACCACAGAAAAAGGGTACCCTTGTTCTAACGAGGACCTAGGAGAGGTACCTGTTTTCTGTTGCATGGAATGTCCACCTGATTTCATCTGAAAGCACTCGAACGAGCTCAGCCTGCTTCATCTGAAGCCCATCCAGCAATCAACAAGCTATTGCCTGCTTCATCGCATGCCACGTAAGGAATGCAGCCTCCTTCATGTTAGGTCTCACCAAACCCTGGTCAGGATCTGATCAGGCCAAACGTGTAGAAGATGCTGAGAAAACATTGCAAAATGCATACCACATTCTAGGCGTGAAACATGGGGGGGGGGGGTGTGACCACACATACATATATATATATATATGAATGCAAATATATTTTATGTATATATCGATTCTCCGACGTGCATCACTTGATTTGATCTTAAATCAAGCCATTCTATTCGTTGGCGCCTGCTTATTTGTTTTCGAGGCTTCAGATCTTTGGGTCAACCAGCGAGATCTTGGCATCCGATGTGCAGCCCTACCTTATAATGGTTGCTGCTCGGCGGAATGGCAATTCGCCAGGTGCTGCAATCGTATTGTTATGGACAAAATCCATTTCGCACCACTTTGGAATATTGCAGGATTTTGTGGATTTCGTCCATCCACAGTAGGAACCAGCCAGGGAATTCGACGTTGGCCAAATGCCAAGGATTTCCTGTAAAATGACCTGCTGCTTTCTTTGCGGTAGGATGGCTTTTTGCATAACTAAATGCTTCATGTCCTCACAAATCATGGATGGGTTCATTTCCTCACCGGAGATTCTTCATTTTCCCAGTGTTAACTTCGGACTAGCGCAACCCACCACGGGAGATAGCAAACCCGGCCAATGCCAACTAACCAGAGGGAAGCTGAGATCCTTTTTGTTTCTGAGGCAACTTTCCTAAGCAATATGTAGTCCTAGCTGTTTAGTACTTACTTGGATGCTCCGCCAAGTTAGTATGTTTCACCCATACAATAACAAGGTTAACTGCACTGAACCGGGGGGTGGATTCATAAGTGGGTTAAAACCGAACAACAGTTACCAACAACTCGCCAACTTGACGAGTCGAACACCGAAGTTATCATTCCGCAAGCTTCACTTTTCGATTTTCAGTTCCATCCCCGAGAGGGAACTAAAGCCCATGGAGTCCAGCGACACATAGAGTAGGTAAGCAGCTATTTTCCGCGTGACCACCTGTTGCTTGCTTGCTTCCGTAGAGGATTCCGCTGGTCTCACGCAGGCTGTAGCAAAGCCTGATGGGCTTGTGTGTCTTTGACTGTCCTTTTTGAAGTTGGCCAAAAGGATGCTAAAACCGACCCCTGTGTGATCATAAAACCTGAGCCCTCACTCCCTGTTGAGCCACAATACATTCTTAGCAGTTTGCACAAAACGACAATCAAGTGTAGCGGGGAAGCCTTGAGGAGAGGACTACGTATTTTAAGGATGGCCAAGTATTCAATATAAATTTCAAGATGTGGTTTTGTGTGTAGCCCAGCAGGCCAAGATTGAGTGTGGCGGGGTGTTTTTTTGTGGGGTGTGGGGGGGTTGTTCTACAAAATGGACACCTTCTCAACATTGCTCGGTGGTGGGAAGTTAAAAGGGAAAGCCGTCTTTGCAGTCCATGTGGGTAAGTTTTTGATCCCCCCCCTGCGGAAAATGGTGGTGTTCTTTTCTCTTTGCATCCCTTTGAAGCCACCACGCAGAAAACGTCAGCCACAATCAAAAACCAGTAGATGAAGGTTGAGAAGGGAAGTTCCCAACCATGAATATCGGCCGCCTTCGAAATTCTTTACACGGTTCTGGGTAGACCGTTTTAATTACGGGTTTTGATTATGACACTGCCCTCAAAAAAGGGAGGTCCACATACCCGCGGGCCACCATGTTGTTTCCGATCGAGGACACGATCTTCGCTGCACTCTTTGCACTGGACGTCACGCTGCGAACCTGCACGCTGGGCTGTGGCTCGGAGAATCCCTTGAGTTCTGCGTCGATTCCCAGTGTCCTTGTGTGTGTGTGTGTTGTCTTGTGTTGCTGCTTGTGTTTTGTGTTGTTTGGTCTGGTTGCTGTGTGTGGGTATTTATGTTTAGTGTTAGTATTAGTATTTGTGTTTGTGATTGTTTTTTTAGGGTACCCGCTTTAAAGGCGGCTTAAGATGTTTGACCCTTTTCTTTGCCCTTTTGCCCTTCAGGGTTTCCGTTGTTTGAAGACTCGAACGTCGACTGGATGTGAAGAGAACCTCCTCTTGGCGCCATCCATAAACGATCAACAACCCAAGACGAAGGCCCCTGGGTTCCATAAAATGTTAACTACCCAAAGCGGGCCTCTTTTTGGTGTTAGACCGCCCACCCTTTGTTTTAGTGGGGTCTTTTCTGCACTTCACCAGGGTGCAAGTTTATGTGGCATGGAAGGGGATGTGTGCCGTCTGCTGTCACCCAACGGTAGTTTCAAATCTATGCCCAGAGGGTCCCTTGATACCTTCTAAAGGTACTTAGACCCCTTTTTCACCTCCAAAAAAAGAATAAACCATCCTCATAAGGTACTTGGACACTTTGGGATAGTAATTTGCCCAACGGCGGATTGACAAACACTTTGAAGAGGTCCTTACACATTGAACTGACATTGAACTGCGTAGTGCACAACGACTGCACAGGGAAAACCCTTCCAAGGGGAGAAACCCCCGGGCAACTTACCAAATCCCTCCCTATCCGTTCAAAGGCAATCCGGCTGTTTTTCAAAGATGGTCTTCACTACAAGAAGCAGGGGTTCAAGTCGACAAGCCTGAGAAACAGAAGGGTAAGTAGACTCCGGTTGAGCAGCCATCCCTTGGTTCTAACATGTCAATGGGAAACCACCCAGCACGCTCAAGCCAATCCAAAACGTTTGAAGGGAAGCTGACCACTTGACCCACCCCACAGTGAACCTGTGGGATTTACCCTACCGAGGGTCCAAGTACTTCATGAGGATGGCTTTTGGGGTAAAAAGGGGTCCAAGTACCTCCTTAGAAGGTATCAAGGGACTCTCTGGGCTACATACAACCCGCTTCTTGTCTCCGGATTTTTGCACCACTCACCTGATGTGGGGACGTTCGTCCACGCATTGCCAGTATTAAACCTTTTGCCTTCTGTTCCATCGGTTTTTCAAGGCAAAGGTGAACCTGGACCGTCAAACCTGGGACATCGCACCATGATCTTGAAGCCATGTCCCATTTTTCAGAGAAGCTTGGGCTGCGTGGCGCGTTTCTTGTCCGGGTCTTGCCTGCTCCTGACTCCCGGCCGCGGTTTTGTCGCTCCGCAGGCAGGTTCTTCCTCTCTCCGTTGAACTTCCTGGACCTCACCGTGGCGGTGGCGGCGATCTCCGAGATCGTCGTCTTGGCCACCCGCAACGAGGCGCCGTGCCGATTCCCGCGGACGAGTCAGCGGACGAGGGCTTCTCATGGTGTGGGTGGACGAAATCCTGCCCCACCCAAGGAACCCGGAATGATGATTCCCCTGTAAATGCCAGCATAAAATGGTTTCAACCATGGTTTCAAAATGCGGGATTTTGTCCATCCACAGTATCTCCGGTGATGGGCTACAGATCACTTTTTTGTAGAGGGGTAGGTACAGGGGGTTGGTCCCCCAGTAGTGCCCTTTGCTATTTTTGGGGGAGGGTTCCCGTACTAAAAAAGATAGACGGGAAAAAAGGGGAGAAAACAAACGGGTACCTTTATTCTAACCTCTCTACTAAAGGACCTAGAGGGGGTGGGTAGTTGAGAGTTTTAGAGTTCCTTCGGAGCCTTCGGGACCCCCGCCCCCTTGGACTCCAAGGGGGTTGCTTGTTCACCAGGTGGCTGGTCAAAAACAGAACCTGCGGTCCCCTGGTGGTTCAATTTTAACCCATACCCAGGTGATGAGTTGGTTTTCGTGTCTCATACCTCATGTTTAGCTAATAGAAGTGGCTTACCAAGAAGAAGGGAGTGTGTTCGCCTTAGGTCCAGCGAGCGTGGCTCGGTGTGTGTGTGTGTGTGTCTTTAATGACAGGGAACTCGTTCGCCTCATGTTTAGGGTTTCGGAATCTATACGCCTCACGGTGACTGGACAAGGTTTGTGTGTGTTTCTGTGTTTAGTTGTTTATGTTTCTTTGTTGTATACTTGTTTTTTTGTATATTGTGTTACGGGAAGATGCCACACCTCATCTTCAGGTGATTGGAGTTTAAACCGATCACAGTGAGCAGCTTTACCTCTTCAGGAGAGTGGATTTAGTTTTTTTTTCTCATCGAATTGACTCACCTTTACTCACACGGAGACGGAGGTTGGAGTGGTTCTTGAAGGAAACTGATTGATGCCCCCGTTGTTTTTTCTTCTTCTTTTGATTCAACTGGTTGGGGTTGTGTCTCTATCACATGGGTTCACCTTCCGTCCAGAGACGATTTCTGCTCTTGTGCAAGAACTTGATCCTTAGCCTTTCGATCTCCCGCGGAAGCTGCAACCCAGCGAGCTTTAGAGGGGGAAGCTTCCCTGGATCATACCCAGTTAGATCCCTTCTAGGTCCCCCAGTAGTGCCTTTCTCACCCTTGTTTTGGGGAGGGTTCCCCTACCAAAATAGACTACAGAAAAAAAGGGTACCCTTATTCTAACCTCTCTACTGAAGGACCTAGCCTTTTAACCCCCCAAAAGCCATCCTGAGGTACCGAGGGACCCTCTGGGATATTGGATGGTTGAAATCGAAATCCACGCAACGCAAAGCTCAGAAACCCAACGGGATAATTCGGTTCCTTTTGTAAACAACTAAATAACAGTTTGAACCATGGTGTCGAGGTGGTGCGAAGGGAATTTGTCCATCCACAGTATGCAACTCATACTTCTCTCAACAAGTTGAGAATGCAGCTTTCATCCCCAACTTTCTGGGCGCCGAAAGTCAATCGACCCTCACAACAAAATCCCTAGCCTATAATCAGATCGATCAAATGGCACCTTGTGTCGTTCAACGTTGAGGGGACCATCCGATCCAACTCCTCCGCGAGAAAATCAACCTGGGAGGCGAAGATCGTGCACCCAAACTGGGAGAAGCTCCAATTAGCCCGTATGTCAATAGCCCTTAGCTGGTGGTTTGGATTGGTGGTTGGAACCCCTCGATTTTGTAGTGGGAGTTTGGGAAAACCACCGATAAGAGGGTAGCTGAGTAAGTGGGAGCTAGCCCCATTTTTGCTATTGTCCTGCAAAGGAAACCAACTGAGCCACAATCAAAACCAGGGTAGATGAAGGTTAGCAAGGGGCAGTCCCAGCCAGAAATAGTTGCGGCCGCCTTCTTTTCATGGTTCTGGGTAGACCTTTTTAATACCGGGTTTTTATTTTGACTCAACTGGGGATGGTTTTTGCGTGAGATGAGCAGACCCGAACTGGCTTGAGGCCTCTAGTTGGCGCACCCTGTGCATTACCCCGTGGAGTTTTGGTTCATGGCCTGGGATGATCCTTTCGAAAGGAAAGGGAGACCCTTATGGACATGTCCCGTCTGGATCTCAGTCTGATTCAAACTGGCCTGTCTGGATCTCAGTCTGATTCAAGCTGGCCCTGCCTTGAAGAAGGTGTCTGCGGGGCGGTTTAGTTTTTGTCCATACCTCGGGATTTTTCTTTGTGGCGTCCCTGTAGGCCAAACCTTGAAACAGCGGGGCCCAGCCTTTTCGGGCGCGGAGTCTTTTCAGGCTACACCTTCATTTCCAAGGTCCCATCTTCCCCCGAAAGAAAAAACAAAAGGGGGGAAAAAAAAGAGAAAAACAAAGAAACACAAGTTGTGCTTTTTCTTTTGCCTCTTCTTTCTGTATTTCAGGTCCCCCCCCTCCCCCCCCGGAAAAAGAAAGTGGTGCCTTTTCTGTTGCTTTCTCTTTCTGTATTTCAGGCTGGGATCTCTTTGGTGGTCTTCCAACTGCTGCGGGTGGGCAAACTCTGCCGCGCCATGCGAGTGGTAGGCATCACCGCGCCTTGGCTCGAAGCCTCTCCCGAGCATGTTTTGCAGGAGGGGCCTTGGGTGTGTCTTTTGGAGGATATCTGTTTGTTACGTGTGTTTTGTGGCTCTTTTGTTGTTAAAGGGAAACCACAAGAAAACCACAGTTTGTTGGAGGTCCAAAAAAAACAGCCACACCCTTTAGGTTCTCCCTTCCCAACATGTCTCTAGATCCCAACATGGCTATGCTGTTTCAGGAATCTTTTCCCAAATAGTTGGTGGACATGGATCCCGGCCGGATGTTGATGGTCCGCGAAAAACATCACACCCGCAAGTGATCAACACTCCCAACATTTGGCGGGCCATGCTCATGGCTCTTCCTTGGGGAATTTGGCGAAGGGAACTTCGTCCAGGTGGATGCCAAAACCGTCACGGAGGAGACTTTTGCATATTTTTTCGCCAGCGCGCTTCGTTGAACTTGAAGAACAGAAAGAACGCGCGACTCGAAATCGGAGCTGCAGTGTCCTGTCGTCCGTGTTGTTCTTGTTCTTTTTGTTTCTTTTTTTTTTGGGGGGGGGGTCCCTTTTTTCAACATGGTCTAAACAAGAGTGCCCAAATGTGCTCTCAGCACGATTCTGCTTCATTTGGACACTCGGAGGAGCTGGGATTTTCGACACAAAAAGTGCACCAAGCCCCGTTTTCAGCTCCCGTTTGAAGTGCTCCGAATGTTTCTACCTGCCTGCAACACGTCTACGCCTGCTTCACGTTTTCAGGTTCAAGATGCTGATTTTTCTCTATTGGTTTTGAAGGAAACTCATCACTACGTTGATTTGTTTGTGTTTCTGTTTTTGTAGGGGACTGCGGCAAATGGAAGGTTGGGAAAGCTGAACATGTGTTTGGCAGAATGTCGAGAATTGGCTTGGCGGGTGGACAGGGTCCACTTCCATGTGCAGCCCGCCGCCTTCAAACGTAGGAAGGCGTTATCAACGTACTGTGGATGGACGAAATCCGTTCGCACCACTTTGCAACCATGGGAAACCAACACGTTTGCTGGTATTTACAGGGGGAATCGACATTCCAGGGTTTCTTAGGTGGTGCGAAATGGATTTCGTCCATGCACAGTATTGATGGGGGCTGTTTTTTTGAGGGTGCCCATTGATGGTTGCTTTTACAAGGACACCAAAAGGAAGCCGACCTCTTTTGGAGGGTCCAATTGCAATTTTGAGAGACACCCTGGTTTCTAAATGCTAAGAAGGAGACAATGCGGGTTAGTTTGGCCTTCAAAGTGCCCTTGATCTCGCTTTGGGCTCTTCGAAGACAATCCACAAAATCCATTATGGCAAATAAGGAAAGGGGCTTTCTTGGAGATGTCTCAATGTGTAAGATGCTTCCGCCACCCCAAAACCACCACCCCCAGGGAAGAAGCAGGAAGGTAATACCGCACTCTGTACATGCTACTTTGCTGCAGAGTGAGCAACGGTCGCAAAGAATGACTTGGGTCACAGGAGCTCCCTTGTTTACATCAATTGCTGTGAGGAAACTCGGGTTCAATTAATTTCCCATGTCACGGAACGCGAAAGAACCTTGGATGGCTCATGTCACTCATGTCCCTAGCCGCCAGATCCAAGGCCGTCCGCGAGATTCAATTTTTTGGAGGTCCCCTTTGAAGTCGCATTCCAGGATTAGGATGGCCAGCAATACGTTTTGAACAGCTCAGATAGCCCAGCGTTTGAAAGAAAAGTCCGAAGAGGGCCATTTCAGGAAGGTTTCTTCGGGCCAGTCCACTCGGTCGGAAGTGAGACTTAGCTTGGAGGCCCCGTACCCAACGTTGGGACATGACCTAGGTCCCGCAGTAGTGCCCTTTTTACCAACTTTTTTTGGTTGGGAGGGTTCTACCAAAATAGACAAAACCAAAAAAGGTTGGTACCAACTTATTCTAACCTCTCAAATCTGGAGGACCTAGTAACGAGACTCGGCTTCCCGAGGCAGACGTGGCGCCCCTGCAGCTGCTGATCAAGTGCCGCTCGTCTGCACAAAACTATGGCCCACCCATCTGGGTGGATATTGCTTTAATATCACCCAACTGTTGTTTGTTGTGTTTTTTTGTAGTGTTTTGTTTTTTCAAGGCAAACTAAAGGAAAACCACAGTTTGTTGGAGGTGCCCTAAAAAACAGCCACACCCCTATGTTCTCCCTACATCCCGACATGATGTTTCTGGGGAATCTTTTCCCAAAGGGGTTGGTGGACATGGATCCCGGCCCGATTTTGATGGTCCGCAGCGAAAATAATCTCACCCACAAGTGTCTAGGGGTTCAAGGCCTTGGTTTGTGCATACGAGCGCATACCATGCCCAGGAAGTCAACAATATTTCTCCCACGCAAAGCAAGGGCAATCAACAGCATTTGCTCTGACATGTGTGAACTTCCCCATAGTATGCATACCCAGAGGGTCCAAGTACCTTGTAAGGAGGTACTTAGACCCCTTTTTTACCACCCAAAAGCCATCCTCATGAATTCCTTGGGGATAGCATAAACATACTTTTTGGGGTTTGGGTTTTGACGCAAGCCCTACGAGCGACGGCTGAAGACATGTTGTGTGTGCGTGCGTGTCATTGTGGCCAGACTCCGATGAGGCTCGGCAAAAAGGCCGGCAGTCTATGATACATGTTTATCCCGTGTCCGCATTTACATGCAACACCATGTTTTGACGCTAGCTCATATAATATGTTTTGTTGGTCACACGTACGTTTTGTTGGTCATACCTGCCCTCTCAAAGTAGGGTAGTGGTTTTCAAGGGAAACAAAGGTTAAGCCAACCAGTTGGGATTGCTTTAATTAGGGTGTCTTTAAGTGAGGTTGGGCTGATTTGGGATTGGATTTGGAGAGTCGCCCACACCCCAACCGCCCAACCCACTCTGGGCCAATCGATCCGAGAGAGCCCGAGGTTTGGAGGCCTCCAAGGACATGCTCTTCTGGAGCTTCGTGTTGCTGACCTTCATCCAGTGCGTGGCAGGCCTTCTTATATTTAAGGTTTTTTCCCCTGGCGTCAAAGGGAATCTATCACTGGAGTTTGTTTCCAGGAAACTTCAGAAATGGAGGCCTCGGATGTTTTCACCAGGATCCGATTCTCCTGACATGGAACCACAGCGAAGGCTGAAAGGCCTTTAATGCACCACGAATTTCTGGTCCACTGCTCCGTTTGACATGGAACCCGCCAGTCCAAATGTTAATAGAAAATGGACTTCCCGGGTGTGCTGATATTTACTGTTGTTGTTTTTTGCCCATTGGAGGGGGGGGGCAGGTATCAAGGCATCAACGGACCATCGGACCAAGGCGGGTTTTTTGGGGAGTGGTCCCAACGCAGGCCGGGAAATGAACCGCCACCCGTTGTGATGCCGAGCTCGGCCAAAAAAGATTCGGCTGGACCCTCAAACTGCCCTTGACGTGATGGGATTTCACAGACATTGTCTGGGCCAATCTCCCATTTCTCAACAGCGGACCTGCCAGATCGCGATCGGCCGCACGGATCAAACCAAAACAGAAGGGGGCAATCTCCCAATTTCTCCTGGGGGGTCCAGGCACCTTGTTCAATGGATTCCACCCAACTCCACGTCTTCCTTGACGCCAGGCGTTTTAATCGGCGTTCTTTGCCAAGACTTTTTGCTGGACGCGCAGAGCTCGCCGGAGGCGAGAGAGGAGGCTCGTTGGGCTGGTGTGGGTCTCACTTGGATAGCCAGATCCCCGAAATGGGTATGGGTCAAAATTAAACCACCAGGAATTGGACCGCAGGTTTTCGTCCACGTTTCCACTTGTGAGAGTGCCATTTTGGGTACTTATTTCTGACCCAGCCAAATGGACCATGTTTCGAGGCCATCTGGGAGCTTCCATGTTAGCCGGGAGTGTTTAGCTGAGTTTTTGGCCGATTATTTTTGAGGATACCCTTGATTGGGTCGGATGAAAAACCACCAGGACAACCACAATTGTGAGGGGTCCCCTGAGCCAAACATCAAAGCTGCAGCTGGGGTTGGCTCGTTACTGTGATAAGCTACTTGCTAAGGTTGAGCCTCCAATTTTTTTGGACAGGACCCCAAAGATGGGCGGATCTGCCTTTCGCCTTCCCTTCAAACCAGAAAAGGATACCCATCCAAATGCCCAGATTGGTCGCTTTTGAGGGCAATTTGCTTGAAACATGATGGCACGGGTTGCTGATGGTTGCTGTCTGCTTCTAATTTGACCATTTGCCTGTACCATCTATATATGTCAACAAAGGCAACTAAGTTTCGACTTTGATAGGGTTGCTCTGAGCCGTTCCGAATGGCAAGACGACATCAGAAAGGGTACAAGATGTGTGTGTGTGTGTGTCTGTGTCTGTGTCTGTGTCTGTGTCTGCGTCTGTGTCTTTGTCTGTGTCTGTGTCTGTGTCTGTGTCTGTGTCTGTGTGCGTGTGCGTGTGCGTGCGCGCGCGCGGGCGCGTGCGCGTGTGCGTGTGCGTGTGCGTGTGCGTGTGAGTCTGCTTGTGCGTGTGCGTGTGCGTGTGCGTGTGCGTGCGCGTGTGCGTGTGCGTGTGCGTGTGCGTGCGCGTGTGCGTGTGCGTGTGCGTGTGGGTGGGCGTGCGCGTGCGCATGTGCGTGTGCGTGTGCGTGTGCGTGTGCGTGTGGGTGTGTGTTCTTGTGTGTGTGTGTGTGCGTGTGTGTTGTGTGTGTGTGTGTGTTTGTGTTTTTCTTTGTGTTTGTGTTTGTGTTTGTGTTTGTGTGTGTGTTTGTGTGTGCGTGTGTGTTTGTGTGTGTGGTTGTGTGTGTGTGTGTGTGTGTGTGTGTGTTTGTGTTTGTGTTGTGTGTGTGTGTGTGTGTGTGTGTGTGTGTGTGTGTGTGTGTGTGTGTGTGTGTGTGTGTGTGTGTGTGTGTGTGTGTGTGTGTGTGTGTGTGTGTGTGTGTGTGTGTGTGTGTGTGTGTGTGTGTGTGTGTGTGTGTGTGTGTGTGTGTGTGTGTGTGTGTGTGTGTGTGTGTGTGTGTGTGTGTGTGTGTTTGTGTGTGTTTGTGTGTGTTTGTGTGTGTTTGTGTGTGTTTGTGTGTGTTTCTGGGTGTTTGTGTGTGCGCGTGCGCGTGCGTGGGTGCGTGCGTGCGTGCGTGTGTGGGTGTTTGTGTGTGCGTGTTTGTTTTTAAAGGTGCCCTTACTTGGGTTGGCTTGAATTAATGGAGAACGGTTGCCATGAAATTTGGGTTCTTTCTGAGCCAAACACATTTCTTTGGTTGAGATGGTGATTTTTCGTACTGAACTTTTCCTCCAACAAGGCTGGGGAAGGGTAGGGAGTTCTCCTGAGATGGAACTGCAAGCTGGCCATGGAACCGAATCTTCTTTTGGGATCAGAGAACCTAGGATTCGAAGGCTGAGCACCAGACATGAACGGCCTTTGGCGAAGAACAGCGTGATGCGATGTTTACATCTTCGGGAAAAATCGATTTGTTTTGTCCGAGGACTGCTAGTTGGGTCCTTTCTGTTCATTTGTAAAAGCTTGTGAACGGAATCCTGGGAGCGTGGAATCGACTGGCCTGGACACTTGTACAAACCACCGGCGCTCGGCTGACATCACCTCAGCAAGCTGGCACCATTAGTTTGACGGCAGGGGGCCATCGCAGTGAACTGGGCATGCGTCCCTGCAATCTATTATTTGGGATGAGTTTGACGCCTCAAAAAGGCTGCAGTTGTGCAACTCAAGACGTGCCACTGAAAAGTGGTCAGGAATTTCCCAAATGGTTAATTCACACCAAATATCAGTGTGTGGTTTGTGGGTTGTTTGCCCAGCGTCGCTGACCACTCGTCGGCAAATCGATGGTTTCAAGCCGACGTGAAGACCTGGCACCGGCTCATGTTCGGGGCGTCAAGGAAAGGATCACCCAAGCCATGCAACTCTTGGCATGGTTGTTCTCCTTTTGGCCCTAACTCAAAACCTGAAAAGGGCACCCTCTTCCGCACACACGCCTTGTTGGGCGGCAATTTCGGGAGGCGGGAGGCCCGGTCTTGGGTCTGAATGGTCAAACAGAAGGACAGCAGACACGAGAACTCCCACTTCTGGGAAGCATCCATAGACTTGCTACGGGCATCCATTTCCTCGACCAAGACCACGGATTGTGTAGGTTTCTCTCGCCAGTGCGGGGGGCCAATAGGTGCCGAAACTTTGCCTTTAAATCAACTCGCCCCAATTCACGTTGTTTTGGTATGTTTTGGACCAAAATTCTGCATGGTCCATGGGATGTCCACTAGTCTGAGTTGTTGATCCTGGAGGTTTATGTCTACTATGGCACTTTCACGCGGACCTTCCTGTCGTGGCTTGGCTTGAAGCGCGTCATGCGGCTTGTCCGGTTTTGCGTGGGCTTTCTGCTTGATTGCTAGCTACGAGCTAAACTGAAGCAAGGTGAACGCTGACATGAACAGACACGGACAAGCATCCGTGCATGAATGCATTCACATGTGCATGCATGCCTTGGTGGCCTTTTCGTGCATTTTGATTTGCTTGCACTTTTGCAGAGTTGGGTGCAAGACCCGCACGCAGCGCGCAACGGTCCCTTCCAGTGCTAGGAAAATCACCATAAAAATGCAAACAAGGTAACCGCAATCAAGGGGATTAATTCAAGGGACCTCTGGGCAGAGTCCAATACATGGGAGGACTTGGCCTTGCGGCAAACCGCCTGTTTGCAGGCTCCCAATGCGACGACATGAGGACAAGCAAATTAATTAGCTGAACAAGACACAGCACTGAGGTTGGGCAAGAAGCAGCGGCAACCAACACAAACATACACGTGTGCGCGCAGCAGCGCAGATGTTTCGCGGTGAAGCATAGGCAGTTACTCTCATCAGGCACCTCAGGCACCCTCCGGCGCTGCTGCAGCGAAAGAATCGCCACTGTTTGTTACGCTGTTATGTGTTTGGATTGGGGTGGATTATGGGTCCGCGCAGGGCTGCGGCCCTTCAATATGTTCTTGAAGCGGGTGCATTTTTCGGGGAGAGATGAGTTCTCAAATTGGCTATGCCGGCAAATGAATGGCCCTAACCCCACCGGACACTATTAGTCGCACACCAGCAACGGCAACACCCTTCGATCGTTTCGCGTTCAGGGGTGTGCTTTTACTATCTCGTTCACACGCATGTGATGCATGTCAAAACAAGCCGCCAACAAACGACTCGTTGTTATTCATTGTTGGTACCAGTCGTTTGCAGGGTTTGGTTGCACCAAGGCGTAAAGCGCAGGCCTCGCTCCGGGAAAGACACCAACACGGTTGCTATGTCTACCTGGCAATCCGAATTGTTTTATTCGTCTTGCAGACTTAGGGGATCTGTTGGTTGGGCTAAATGGGTTCCAGCTTGCGCCAGGGAACCATCGTGTGACATGTGTGTAGCAACCAAAGGGAACCCATCTGAACAGCACCCAAAACCCCACTACCAGTTTTAGTGGGTTGTTCTTCTACCTGGTTTCATAAAGGTTATAGTCAGGACTGTTCAACTATTTCTAACTGTCTTAGAGTCTTGTATGTGAATGGCTGTTGGGCGCATCTATCTTGTTAGAGCCAATTCTGCGACATGGTTACCCACGTCAACACCCCAGGTTTTGCTTCTTGTACCAGGACGTTCGAGATCAAACTCCAAAAATAAATGGATCCCTTTCCCCACCAGCGTCACTAAACAACTGGGCGGAGAAACCAATTCTGTAAAGCGCATGGATTTTCTTCTGAAGCGGCCGAGGATGTTTGAGATCATGTTCGCTAACTGGGGGCCTCCGTGTCGCATCCTGGTGGAGAACATCAGCGAGTGGTTCTCCCTCTTTTTCTTGCTCTACAGGTCGGGACTCGCAGAGATCGCGATGGCGTTGGGAAGGTTGTGGCTTTCAATTTGGTCAGCGCAATCCGAGCTTCTCATGGTTGAAACCCCCTTTTGGTTGGTCCCTTGTATGCAATAGTGTTCTTTTAGCAACAAGGAAAGTCACTCAACCAAGAACCAAATGGAGTTGCCACCTACTACGCCCCAAACGTTTACGACAGGATTCGGTATGTCAACCGTGGCGATTCGGATGTATTTTGTTTTAGACCCTTGTCAGCGAGTGAAAGCTGGAGGTTGGCGTGTGAAGTGGAACTCAAAGAGGGGTTGTTTATGCTGGCCGCAAGCAAACGTGCCTTTTCTTTAAGGATGTGAAAGTTCAAAGGCTTGGGTCGGCTGATTGGAGGCAAATTGTAGAACCTCAAAAAGCAGGATTGCCAACCTCCACGATGAAGGTTTCTTGTTTGTCCCTTCTTTCCGATTGGTGAAGTACTATAGTCATAGTCTTTCCGTCGAGGACTGTCAGATTCAATCTGGGGAAAACACTGGGAATCCCCACCCATCAAAGGTTCCCAGCTGTCCGTGGCACCCTCTAACTCCTGTGTTTGGTGCGATCCCCGCTCCCATGTGCAAGCCCCTATTGTTCAAGTTGAGTTTACTCGAGCGGCAAGGATCTAGCAAATTTGTGTGTGTTTTCTCCTTCTTTCGCAGAAGGGTTGACTCACTGCGAACCAGACTCAAGTTGGGAAAACAGCTGAGGTAGAAGAATTGGAAGACATAGTTTTTCCTCCACCGGAAGCTATGGGGTCTGGAGGGTTCCCTGGACTTCGGCTCTTTCCGACTCCATGAGTCGAGGTGCGTGGTGGGCTTTGCCGTCTTGAACGTGGTGGGCAGCGTATTCGTTCCTGCGCTTGAAAAAGCGCCATGATTTTGGGGGCAATGTCCAATTTGCAGAGCAGGGCGGGGGGGTCCAGGCAGAAATTTAGATTGTCCCAAAAGCACCCAATGGGGTGCGTTTGGCGTATTTTAGCTAAATTATCAATATCTAAACCCCAGTCCCTTTTTGTTAGACTACCGGGGTCTTGATGTGTCCTGTTGCTTTCGTTGTTTTTTGTTAAGAAGTCGAGGCCTCCTATGTCAGACCCAGGTTCAGCAGACCATGAAGACTGCCAGCTCCGATGAGGCCGGCCCGAGTCGAAAATCGAACCGCGTCCCAAGTTCTTCAACAAGAAACACGTGGAGGGCTGTCGAATGGGTCTTCCCATCGAACCCCTCAAGCCCCAGAAAGCTCTTCCGAGAACTGGAAGGAAGGCCTTCGAAATGGGGGGGAAGGTTTTGAGTGTGACTTGGGATGTCTTCTGTTCGAGCGATGCCGAGCGAATGCCATGATTTTGGTCTTGTACTTGGGGACAAACGGCGAATCGAGAACCTTGAAAGCACACGGCCTGCTTCGCCGAAGGTTTCCAAGGCGCCTGGAAGCATACGTTTGGGCTAGTTGGAAAATCATTTTGCCATGGGCTGATTTAGAGGATCCTCTTGTAAAGCAGGTGATTCATGGAATTTTGTTTAAGGCCATATGGCCATGGGGCATAACCTACGGCTCCTATTTGGGGTGGATGAAAACAAACATCCATTTGCCGCCTATTTTGATATTCACCAGGGGTACAGGGTTTTGATCCACAGCCATCTATTTCCCTGTCTGTTTGTCCCATGTCCGAAAGATCGCGAAAGAATGTAGGCGTCTCTCGGTCAGGAGTTGGCTTTTAAGCAGAAGCAGAAGGACATCGCGCAATACACCCGAGCTTTGGTTGGAAATGCCTCAATCTTCATTCTAAGGACGTTCTTTAAATTTGAACCCTTCCTTCCTTGTTTGTTTGTTTGTTTGTTGGTTTGCTTGTTGGTTTGGTTTTTTGTTTGGTTGTTTGTTAGTTGGTGTGTTTGAATGATGGTGCTTTTTTTTGTGTGTGTATTTGTTTGTTTGGTTTTGTGTGATTGCCTGTTTGCTGTGTATGCGTTTGTTTGTTTGTTTGTTTGTTTGATTGTTTGTTCGTTTGTTTGTTTGTTTGTTTGTTTGTTTGCTTGTCTCTCTTGTCTGCCTGTTTGTTTGATTGCGTGCTTGCGCGCTTGCTTGCTTGCTTGCTTGCTTGCTTGCTGGCTGGCTGGCTGGCTTGCTTGCTTGCTTGCGTGCGTGCGTGCTTGCGTGCTTGCGTGCTTGCGTGCTTGCGTGCTTGCGTGCTTTCGTGCTTGCGTGCTTGCGTGCTTGCGTGCTTGCGCGCTTGCTTGCTTGCTTGCTTGCTTGCTGGCTTGCTGGCTGGCTGGCTGGCTGGCTGGCTGGCTGGCTGGCTTGCTTGCTTGCTTGCTTGCTTGCTTGCGTGCTTGCGTGCTTGCGTGCTTGCGTGCTTGCGTGCTTGCGTGCTTGCTTGCTTGGTTTCTTTCTTGATTGCTTCATTGATTGCTTGTTTGTTTTCTGTGTTGGGATGTTTTGTGTTTTTGTTATGTTGTTGTTATTGTGGTTGTTATTGTGGTTGTTAGTGGTTGGTTGTTGCATGTTGCTTGTTGCTTGTTGCTTGTTCGTTGTTCGTTGTTCGTTGTTTGTTGTTCGTTGTTGGTTGTTGTTGTTGGTTGTTGTTGTTGGTTGTTGTTGGTTGTTGTTGTTGTTGTTGTTGTTGTTGTTGTTGTTGTTGTTGTTGTTGTTGTTGTTGTTGTTGTTGTTGTTGTTGTTGTTGTTGTTGTTGTTGTTGTTGTTGTTGTTGTTGTTGTTGTTGTTGTTGTTGTTGTTGTTGTTGTTGTTGTTGTTGTTGTTGTTGTTGTTGTTGTTGCTGTTGCTGTTGCTGTTGCTGTTGCTGTTGCTGTTGCTGTTGCTGTTGCTGTTGCTGTTGCTGTTGCTGTTGCTGTTGCTGTTGCTGTTGCTGTTGCTGTTGCTGTTGCTGTTGCTGTTGCTGTTGCTGTTGCTGTTGTTGTTGTTGTTGTTGTTGTTGTTGTTGTTGTTGTTGTTGTTGTTGTTGTTGTTGTTGTTGTGGTGGTCGTCGCCGTCGTCGTTGTCGTTGTCGTTGTCGTCGTCGTCGCCGTCGTCGTTGTTGTTGTTGTTGGCTCCGACGTTCTGTTCACGCGCATTGTAGCGACATGGACGAGGTCATTTTCGTGTGGCCTGCGTGGGAAATTCAGCAACTGCCGATCAAACAAACACATTTTGACTGCACAGGCGCGTCGTTTCGCGAAACCAGTGCAGTTCTGAGCGGGTGCACTTGAGCGGGTGTGCTTACCATTTAGCAGGCATGTGTGCAATTCTGAGTGGGTGCACTTGAGCTTACCATTTGGCAGGCATGTGTGCAGTGCTGAGCGGGTGCACTTGAGCGGGTGTTCTTACCAATTGGCAGGCATGTGTGCAGTGCTGAGCTGGTGCACGTGAGCGGGTGTTCTTACCATTTGGCAGGCGTGGATACAGTGCGGACCGGGTGCACATGAGCGGGTGCTCACCATTTGGCAGGCATGTGTGCAGTTCTGAGCGGGTGCATGTGCTTACCATGGTTTCGCGAAGCGACGCGCCTGTGCAGTCAATTTTCATGTATTTGAGCGGCCGTTGCTGAATCTCCCACGCAGGCAACACCCCGCTCACGTGCACCCGGTCAGCACTGTATCCACGCCTGCCAAATGGTAAGAACACCCGCTCACGCGCTCGCGCTCAGAACTGCGCACATGCCTGCCAAATGGTAAGCACACCCGCTCAACTGCACCCGCTCAGCACTGCACACGTGCCTGCCCAATGGTAAGCACACCCGCTCAAGTGCACCCGCTCAGAACTGCACACATGCCCGCCAAGTGGTAAGAACACCCGCTCAAGTGCACCCGCTCAGCAATGCACACGTGCCTGCCAAATGGTAAGCAAGTGCACCCGCTCAGAACTGCACACATGCCCGCCAAGTGGTAAGAACACCCGCTCAAGTGCACCCTGCACACATGCCTGCCAAATGGTAAGCACACCCGCTCAACTGCACCCGCTCAGCACTGCACACGTGCCTGCCAAATGGTAAGCACACCCGCTCAAGTGCACCCGCTCAGAACTGCACACATGCCCGCCAAGTGGTAAGAACACCCGCTCAAGTGCACCCGCTCAGCAATGCACACGTGCCTGCCAAATGGTAAGCACACCCGCTCAGAACTGCACACATGCCCGCCAAGTGGTAAGAACACCCGCTCAAGTGCACCCTGCACACATGCCTGCCAAATGGTAAGCACACCCGCTCAAGTGCACCCGCTCAGAACTGCACACATGCCTGCCAAAAAACGGGTGCTCTCCTTACAGGTTTGCCGCGCCGCATCCCTCAGTGCTCCGCGCATCTTGGGCATTGCAGCTCTGCCCTTGATCGCTGCAGACTGGGCTTGTGGAATGCAGAGAGAACTCTTCATCCCTATACCACGCATCGCGTTGCATCATGGTAAGCACGCCCGCTCACGTGCGCCCAGTCAGCACTGTATCCACGCCTGCCAAATGGTAAGAACACCCGCTCACGCGCACGCGCTCAGAACTGCACACATGCCTGCCAAATGGTAAGCACACCCGCTCAAGTGAACCCAGCTCAGCACTGCACACATGCCTGCCAAATGCTAAGCACACCCGCTCAAGTGCACCCGCTCAGAACTGCACACATGCCCGCCAAGTGGCAAGAACACCCGCCCAAGTGCACCCTGCACACATGCCTGCCAAATGGTTAGCGCACCCGCTCAAGCGCACCCGCTCCGAGCTGCACACATGCCTGCCAAACGGTAAGCACGCCCGCTCAAGTGCATCCGCTCAGTTGGTTGGTTGGTTGGTTGGTTGGTTGCTTAGTCGGTTGGTTGGTTGCTGTTTTGCTTGTTTTCTTGTTTGTTTGTTTGTTTGTTTGTTTGTTTGTTTGTTTGTTTGTTTGCCTGCTTCTAGCTTGTTTGCACGCTCCGCGGCAGCCGCCCTGGCTCCTTTTTTTTTGGTCTTTGCGAGCAGGCACGAAATGTTGGCCCTGCCAACGAACCGCGCTAACCCACTTGCCGAACTGCTGGCCCTGCCAACACAGGTATTGCTTGCACGCTCCGCGGCGGCCGCCCTGGCTCCTTGTTTTTGGTCTTTGCGAGCACGCACGAAATGTTGGCCCTGCCAACGAATCGCGCAACCCCACTTTCCGAACTGCTGGCCCTGCCAACACAAGTACTCGTTCGCTGCCCTGCGCAGTGCAAAACCACGTTCGAAGCCCCCGACAAGAGGTAGTTTTAAAATGGTGTTGTAGAGACCCTTTGCGCGAAACTATTGGCCCTGCCAGTGGAAAAGGCAAATTTTCTATGACCGTGCTTTCCCGGCGCGCGTGAGCAGAACGTCCGGCCGTTGTTGTTGTTGTTGTTGTTGTTGTTGTTGTTGTTGTTGTTGTTGTTGTTGGCGGTGGTGGTGGGGGGGTGGTGGGGTGGTGGTGGTGGTGGTGGTGGTGGTGGTGGTGGTGGTGGTGGTGGTGGTGGTGGTGTGGTTTTTGTTGTTGTTTTGTCTTCGTTGTGTTTGTTGATGGCTGTTGGCTCTTGGTGTTGGTGTTGTTGTTGGTGGTGGTGGCGTTGGTGGAAGCCCCGGCATATCTGCCGTGGTGTTTGTTTGCGCCGTTTGACCTTCCGACGGTTATTCAATTTTTAGCACTCCCACACCAAATCGACTTCCCGCCTTTTGGATTTGCAGCTTGTGGACTTAGAAGTTGACTGCTTTCATCAGCATCATCGTTCTCATCGCCCTCCCTTACTATTTGCCTCATTAGCATGATGCACATGTCATGGGGGGGGTGGGGTGCGATGGGGATGGTGGCGTACGTGGCCCACTTGCCATCATCAAGGTGTTGTACGTTTTGTGGGGTGTGTGGTGGGATGGGGTCGGGTGCCTATCACCATCATCTTCTATCACCCAGCATCCAGCATCCATCATTCTTCGCCATCAACAGCACCAACGTCACAAGTCCAGATTTGCATGGCCCATTGCATTTTCAACAGTTTAACGACCTTTTGCTCACATGAGAAAGGCAGCCCAGAAAGCATGCGGACCCCTTAGGGTTGTTGTCAGGTGTTCAAGGAATCAGGACAGTGTCGGGGCGTATCATGAGTTCTGGAATCGTTCATTAGGTTAGATTGGTGGTTTGGATTGAGCCTCGTGGCTGTTTTTTGCAAACTTCCCCATCATCCCAACAAAGACCCTCTTGAACAATAATCCATTTACCCATGTTCTTTTCACCTTGCGGGTGACTCGGTCGATCGTCCCCGCCTGGGGCTTTGGTGTTCCCCCCCACCCCGCCTTCCCAAGCAAAAGCGGACAGCTGAAAAAGACAAGTACAGCACCAACAAAAAAACCACGGACAACGTTGATCTTTCGGGCAACCCACCCCCCAAAAGTCACAACCAAAACACATGCGCCAAGCCCAGAGGAATGTTTGCCGACCGCAGCCCTCCAACATGTCGTCCCTGCTGTTTGTCCAGAGGGTTTTGCCCGATGCAAGGTTATGTTGGGCAACTCGCAACGTCCCACCAGCCACCCTCCGCACCAAAAAGTGGCACCAAAACCAAAACGCCCTAACCAACAACAGAGTTCCCTTGCAACCCCTCCAAAAGTTCCAGCCAAGGCCGAAAATCTGAACCCTAAAAAGACCACTCCAACAATTGCCCCCCCCGCAAAGCAAAGCAACACATGAGCAAGCACTACCCACACACAAACAAGCAAGCAAGCAAGCAAGCAAGCAAGCAAGCAAGCGAGCGAGCGAGCGAGCGAGCAAGCGCGCAAGCACGCAAGCACGCAAGCAAGCGAGCGAGCAAGCAAGCGAGCGAGCGAGCGAGCAAGCGAGCAAAAGAACAAACATACAAACTAGCAAACCAAGAAGCACAGAAACAAAGCAAAATACACAATTACACATACACAAACACGCAAGACACACATCCACTAGTGGGGATTTTTCGTTCGAGGAATGGTGCTTTGCATCCTTCCGAACCCCAAATCCATTGACCAAAAAAGATCGTCCACGTAATCTCTTCCCCCTATTAATGAATGACCTCAATTAATAGAAAATGGAAATCCGGGGCCCGGGGCCAGATTTCCACTCCGCACAATTGATGTTTAATTGCGCCAATACTAAACCAATACTAAATTCTTGGAATCCTTATTAGGGGGCACTTTTAACAAGCTTCCAGCCCCACTTTTAAGCTGCGACTGTCTCTCCCCCGTACATGCTGGCTAACCTGCCTGGCTGCAAACAAAAAACCAGTAAACTGAAAAACAAATAGAATGATACATAAACAAATTCCTTATTAAACCGCTTACTCGGGGACCTTACAATTCAATCCATTTCCTCCAAATCCTATGTGAACCCTCACATTGTTGGAAAGGCAAAAAACCCAACCCCAAAAACCCCAATTAAAAAACACATAGTTTTGGGAGGATTTATTTATAATCGGGCAGGGGGGGGCCGTATTTATTAATAGGGGGAAGAGATTAGATTAGTCCCACCGTCTCAATAAGAAGCTTGTTTTACCATGGGTTTCCCGTCAAAGCCACCCCAACAGGAATTGCCTATATGGGGCTGTCTTTTGTTGAGGGTCCCCTTTTCGTGACTTTTATAAATGAAAGCCAGCGTGTTGAGGGTACCTCAAGACAAGACTCACCCACATTTGCTTTTTATTTTCCCCTTGAGACAAGTTTGTTAATTCATGCCCTCAAATCTGTGTGATGGTATCTCTGGGATCCGAGCAAAGGCGACCCCGCAAACATCCTGCAACATGTTCCCCAAAGCGCCCACTCCCAAAAGCCATTGTCAGCGTTCCGTGTTCTACTTTCCTCTTGATTTTGGGGTCAAACGGCCAACCCCGAACCCGAGACCACCACAGCCCCAAAGCTTTTGCCTTCCCCCTTCTTAAAAAAAAGAAAAGAAAATCAAGGTTGCCCCCCTCAAGGCTTTGTCAAACTCTGTTGGAAAGCAACCCTCCAGGGGTTTTCAGACATCGTGGTTCAAACCACACCCGTTGACCCAGGAAAGGTGAAGCGGCTGTTCCAAACCATCGACAGCTCGGGAGACGGCACCATCTCCTTGGACGAGTTCGAGCGTTTGGTACAGAGCCCAAAGCTCCAGTTTTGGATGAGCCAGCTGGAGTCGCTCGACTTCAAAAAGCCGAGAGGTCGGACGGTCAGCCCCGTACAAGTGTTGAGCTGGCAGAAAATCGGCGGAAGATTGGTGGCTACTGTGGATGGTTGCGAAATCCGTTTCGCAGCACATTGTGACCATCTAAAAATGCAAAGGATTGTGGTATTTCCGCGGGAATCATGATTCCAGGGTGCTCAGGTGGTGCAGGATTTCGTTCGTCCACAGTATTTCTTGCAGGTGGTTTTGAAGGAGTAATTGGAAGAGCATGCGGTTTTCCTGGTGTGGAACAGTAGGAAATTATCGAGAGCCTTGTTTGAAGGAGCACCCCAATAGTTCTCCTAAAGCGCAGCTCAGATGGGATCCCCCGAAGTCATGTTTCCTTTGAATTCGCTTCTCAGTTGCCCAAAAGCAGAGTGAAAAGGAAAAGACCAGGGTGTGGCCGGGACCAATCTGGGTGAGCCAGGTCGCATGAAGTTTCTTTCCCAAATCGTTCAAGCACTTTCGGCCGTGGCTCACGCCACAGGTGCATATTTTTGCGGGTGCTTAGATGGGCTGGGACGCTAAATAGCTAGCCCTGGTTCAGGGGACTTACAGCCATTGTAAGTGGGCTACAACCAACTAGCCATTTAGCTAACTCCCAGACCAATAAGTGTGATCCGAGGGTAGGGTCTCGCTGTCGTGCCGTGCGAGTTCCGCAGACAGCGGATTTGTTCGCGTGCCCCATTGTGGGGTGTTGGGAGTGTCGGAGTGCTCGTGCTGTGGCGCGGTGCAATCCTTCATCATGGAAATCGCGCAGCGCAGCGTGAATTTCAATCATCGAGCGATCTGCAGACTTCGGCTGTCTCCACTCGCTCTTGCTGTGGCAAGGTGGAAATTTTGTCGCGTCTTCTGCGTACTTCAGCTGCTTCCAATTGCTCGCAAAAGGTTTGGGGGGCAGGAAAGCCCAGAAACCTGGTAATCGACCTCGACAGGACTTCCATAGAGCTTCTTTGGTAAACATATCTTGTCCAGATTCTGTCAGGGATTTGCGCGGAGATCCTGTAAAGATGCTCTAAGGCATTTTTTTGACTTAAAGACTGCTTTACGTAAAGACCATTGCGAGAGATCTTCCACAATCCTTCTCAACAGTCCCTCTCCAAGAGCTGCTTGGGCTTTTTGACAGGAACTGTGTAAAGAGCTCTTGCAAACAGATCTTGCCGAGCATTGTCTCAGGAGGCTTTTGAAGGGTGCAGACATCCTGGTTAGAGATCCTGCAAGGAAATCTTTCCCAGATGAGTAACATGCGTGAAACAGCTTTAAGAGGATTTGCCAACGTGCAAGGCCGCAGGTGAAGCCATGCCTTAACTTCAATGTGCGCGACGGTTTGTCTGGGCCACCTGGAGTGGTATGACACCTGCGCTTCGTGGTTTGATCAAGCTGGGTCGGCTTTCCGCGTGCGGGTGGACTTCGCGCGTGCAGCTTTCCGCGCCGAACTGTCAAGCCCAGGCTGGAGTACCACGATCTCCTGAGCCTCTTCGAGTTCTTGGACAATGGTGACGGCCAGATCACGAGACTTGGTCGCCAATGCTCAGAAAAGGGTGAACGGGCAAAACATGTTGGTCAAGACAAAGTTCAGGGGGAGCGGCTGAACGGGTGCCAGCTTGCACCGTCGGGCAAGCATCCTAGGATCCTTTTGTTAACCGTTAAAAGTTCTAGGGGCCGATTCCCCATTCTTTTCAATCATCGTTCTTTTCAATAACCAGCCGTTTTCCCTGGGTTTCCGGAGGTTTTCTAGAAAGAAGGATTTCTGGAAAGAATGGGGAAGGTACGTCTTAGAAAAGTGCTCGAATTCAGATTTGGCCGGGCTTGTCTCAGCGGCCAAGAGGAGTCCGTGGGCGCTTGCCATTCGATGCCCACCCCAGCAGGCAAGCGGATTGCCCAAGTGTTATATACTTGGTTGAGCTGAGTTGCTCTTTCCGCGTAATGATTCTGTTGTGGACAGCACGAAAGCAGCAACAGCAACGACAGCAGCAGCAGCTGCAGCGACTGCAGCAGCAGCAACGACAGCAGCAGCTGCAGCAGCAGCTGCTGCAGCAGCAGCAGCAAAGAAGAGGCGCACAAAAACTGACTCCAACACCGACGGTACCCAACTCATCCGTGTTGTCTGCGCGGCGTTTCATGCCAAAATGCCGTGGCTTCGGTTCGGCTTGTCGAGCGCTTCCGTGTGGATCCTAGGCTAACGGAGTTCATAGAAGGAGCTGGGCGGCTGCGGGGGAGCTCCAAGGCGATAGATATCTGGCGGCTGGAGACCAAGATCGAGGCGCTTGCATTGCGAAGCAAGACCCCCCCCCCCTCCGCTCAGAAAGAGAATTCTGGTAAGACCGTTTTTGGTTTCTTTTTGGTTTCTATTCCAAACAAAATTGCAGCTCCGGCCTGCGAATATTTACTACCAAGAAATTCGTCGGCGTGCTGCATTGGAGGACGGGGGTTTTTTGCGTTGCAAATTGTCCATGTTGCGCTGAAGACCAACCAGGAAGAATTGGCAAGACCCTGCCTGTTAAGGGGGTTTTGGTAGAAGCTGAAACGCCCGCACCCTCTATCAAAATTTGGGGCTGGGTCATACGGTGGGATGGGAACCGCGCCATTAGGGACTGGGGTCCCATTAGGTTTTGGCTGCTCTTAGATTCTCCACCCTTTAAAAATGGGGTCATTACCGTAAATAATGGGGTCATGCACCTATTTTTAACGGGCCATGGAGACTCCGGGTCTCTCAAGTGCAGTGTCAGTGAGTCGTCGAAAGCATTCGAAAGCGCAGCTTTTAGGCGCGCGAGTGAGGCGCCGTCTGGCGCAGACCTGGGCGGATTGGGTCAAAATTCAACGGACTCACTTAGGAGTGAGGGCGGGGCCATGATTTGCAAATTCACTGGTTAAGCGTCGACATATCATTTGCATATTGCATGTGAAAGAACGAGGGCCGTTGCTTTTAACTGTTTCTATTGGGGATCAAAGCTACATTTTCACTTGGCTTACGAAAAAGTCATGGGTGTTCCTAAGGTTTTTATTCACGCTAGCATTTTTTTCCAAATGCTTCGCACCAGGAGTTGTATGATCAGCAGTTTGAAATGACAAACACAATTGAAGGCGTTTAGCCCGTGAGGGGTTCGCATCCCAGCCGTAATTGACAATCAGGGAGCACGAGCCGCACATGTCAGCAAATCGAAGTAGCGAGCTCACCCAGACGAGTCACCCATATTGAAGGCTTTCTAAATTGGATGTCTTGCTTCCGGCGTGTGAAATCGTTCGTATCCAGAAGCCATCAAGGGTCCTTTTGTTGGTATCTAAAACCTTGTAATGACTCGCTGGCTGCCTGATTGACGGATTGGCTGGTTGACTGACTTGACGGATTGGCTGGCTGCCTGACTGACTGACTGGCTCGCTGACTGACTGGCTGGCTGTCTGATTGACTGACTGATTGACTGACTGACTGACTGGCTGGCTGGCTGGCTGGGAGCCGCAGGTCCTCTTCCAGGAAGTCTTCAACAACCTGAAGGGCCCGATCGCGACCCCGCTGCTCGTGCCACTGGACTCGAGGATGTTTTTTTCGGGACGCCAACACAAAGGCAGCGTTAACCGCAAGGCGTTCACGGCTCAACTTTTTTTCGCGGCATCAGGGGTGCGCCTAACCCCCCCCTCAGTTGCCCAGCCGTTTGTTTTAACCGTTTTTTATTATTATTATAAAAAAAAAAAAAAAAAAAAAAAAAAAAAAAAACATTGAGGTATAGGAAAGCGGCGGCAGTGTCCATAAATTATCAATCCCTTGCCAGTGGAACGCCACTGTTCCAGGGGTTGATTCCTTGTCCCTTCCTTTCAACCATCGTTCTTTTCTCAAACATCGGATCTGTTTCCAACCTGGATTTTTGATGGTTTCCTGAAAAGATAAACTGATCCCTGGGTTCAGAATGGAAATGGAAGGTAGCCCTAGAACTGTGTGCTTGGGTGCCGCAGCAGAAGAGTGTATTGCTCATCTCCCAGTGGCCGCCGTCCAGTCGGTTTTTTGGGTTAGCCAAGCTCCGCCAGCCTAGGAAACCTGGTGACTTTTCTTTGGGCCTGTGGCAAAACCAGGGGAGTTTTGGAATACTTCCATTTGGTTAAGAAGCAAATCTGATTTTCCCCTGCTGGTTTTTAAAGGGAATTGGCTTCTTCCATTTTGGTTAAGAATATGTTTTTCATAATTTTCCCCTGCTGGTTTTTAAAGGGATCGATTTCACTACTGGACATATTTTCTTATTTTTTCCAGGGGACTTAAGCAAATGGAGGGCTCGGGTTGGTTCTGGAGCGCTATGCTTCGATACCCCAGTTTAGCCCTGCACACATAGGTGTCCTTTTTGGGTTGTTTTGCTTAAAGAACTGGAAGGTTCTGGTTTACCTGGTGGTTCAATCCTCTGCCAGGGCCATCTATGTTCCGAAAAGGACACCTATGCCTGCATAGTGCTGCATCCTGGTCTTTAACTTCTGCCATCCCATGGATATAGGTGGTGCGCGTTCTGTGTCCCAGCCTGCTTGGTGCCTTTTGGCTTTGCTCCAGCAGGCTGAGTTGCCGCTACCACTTCCACTTTCTGAGCGATTTCGTTTTTTTGGTGTGTGCATAGTCGACGCGTGCGCCCCCGGCTCATGGTCTCAACGCAAATTGACAGGTGGGCCGCCTCGGACCAACATGATGCCTTTTTTCCCCACCGCAGGCGCATCTGAGCCCAAGTCTTCGAGTCACATTCCGAGATGTCTCAGGGAGGGTTTCAGCATGCGCCGAAGGACAATCATGTGTGTAGCATTTTAGGAACTTAACGGGTTTCAGCATGCGAGAAAGGACAATCATGTGTGTAGCATTTTAGAGAGCACGTGTTAGATCCCATGTCGGCTCACCCAAATATCGCCCCGGTTCCTTTTACTTTTGTGGTGAACCGTTGAACAGAGGGTCATTCCCCCAAACAGATGGGCACGTTATCACCCCTCTCGAAACGTCATGCAGAGTCCAGGCTTGACTGCAGGAGATCTTCAGGAACTCTGCCCTGTTTAGATACCAGGACATGATATCATATCTTCAAACAAAGGAAACTGCACCATGATTTTCGGGGCAGTACCCAGTTTTAAGGCGATGCTCCAGGTATGTCTTTGGATATGATGGTTTAACTGGGGGACCCTTTGCTGTACATCATGTTCCTTGATTTGGCTGTGGGTCAAAAATAGGTACCCAAAAATGAAACCCTGGCAAATCGAACCAAGGACTAAAACCTGCGGTCCCCTGGTGGTTTCATTTTGACCCATACCCATTTGTCCACCAACTCCTGTCCTGCGGCTGATTAAGGCGGGATGCTCAAATTAATGTTCTAACTCAAATAGCAGCGTACATAAACACACACACACACACAACACATGTATACATATATATATACGCATATATATATATATACACATATGAAATCATAGATATACACGTATTTATGTATTTAGGTATGTACTTTTATCATCCTGAATGACATATGCATATAAACATATACATATTAATATAATGGTAGCCCCCCCCCCCGAAAGAAAAACAAACAACAACACACAAGCAGAAACATTAAAACAAAAATCAATCAGGCACAAGGTTCATCATTTGGCAGACCAAATGCAAAAAGAACAGGATATCCACACACACACACACACACGCGCGCGCGCACCTGTAGGCTGCCATGTGTATATATGGTTGTGGTTTAAAAAACCAGTACCAAAATGGGTTGCCCTGGTAAGTGGAACCATGGGCCAAACCTGCGGTTTGCCCCTCCTGTTCAATTTCGAGCCACACCCATATCTATATATATATATATGGCCATGTGTCAAAACATGCCAAACCCCACTAAAATGAGGCCAAAAATGGGTGGTGCACCTACCCCAAAATGGTAATTATGTGTTTGTGGCTCTCTTTCAGTGGCATCTCAGGCAGGAGATCTTCAACAATTCCAGCTTCAAGCACATCCACACCACGAAGACCCCGGACTTGGAGACCATCGACGAGCACAGCGCCGGCCCTGCGTCGCCCATGGAACATCTTAGTCCCAGAAGCTCGACACAGGCAGGGTTCCATTTGTTCACCTGCACATAGACTTAAACCGGGTTCCCTTTTTGAGAGACATGACCCACCCCTGGGTTTAAGTCATTTTGGGGGGTAGTCAAAAAGTGGAACCCTGGAGGCAGGTATCGCTCATTGACAACGTTGGACACCTCACGGTCAAGGCCCAACGTGCACTGCTGCACTTGGAGCAGGAGCAGCTTTGTGCGTTGCATACCCTTCAGTCCGCCCATGTGTCACCCAGCTGAATCAGGCTCAGATAACCGCTCGACAAGTGTGTCGGTTGTCTTTCGCTGAGACTTCGTTTTCGCAGAAGACATGATTTCCTTCCCTTTTCACCCTTGGCCCTTCAAAATTGCCAGACATGGCTTACCTTTCGATTTGTGCGGTGGTTGCCTTCTGGTTTTCCAGCATGCGTCCTTTCAACAAGCAAGTTTTTTTTTTGTGGGCTCCGAGTGTAATTCAAGGAATCCAATACGGGACCAACTAGTTTGAAATGGGAACCCTCCCTTATCTTGAGAAAGCTCATCGCTTGGTGGCTCCCAGCCATCCCCTTAGCTTGTTAGACTTTTAGTGTTTAGTGTGGGTGTCCATTTGACCTACTAAAAGTTAAGCTTTTAGCGGGGGATCTGAGGGCAGCCCACATCAGATTTCGAGAACAACTCTGAGCAAATAACAAAGACACGTGGGGATCGGATCGGAAGGTTTCCACTGAGCGATTTTTTGCCCCCTCGGAAGTGCACAGAAACCAAGCCAAACCAAATCCACTAGGTACCGTCCCAAACGGAAGGAACGCTCTGCTTTGCATTTTGCCAAGGGATGTTAGGACTTCAACTTTTCGCCAACTAATGGATTTTCCACTCAACCACTAAAAGTGAAAGACTTTTAGCAGGGGAGCAGAAAGCAACTCAGTCTGGCAGGGAGGAAAATGCGAGGGATGGGTCTTAGTACCAACAGAAAACTTGGGAAGGTGACCTGCGTGGTGTGAATGTACACGCCTTGCGCATTTCGGCGAAGTTTAGCGCCGTTCTGAACGGCATGACTTTTCGGACTGATTCGACTCGGGTGAGTCGGGCAAGGGAGGCGATGGTGGTGGGAATCTGGATTTTAGTCCACTTTCTGTGATACCAAGAAGATCGCCTGAAATGGCATGAAATGGCCTCCGGCATTCAATTTTCAGCTTTGGACCGGCTATGGCTGCGTGCCAAGTGCAGATCGCACGTATCTTCAGAGGCCGTGGTTTCTGTCGCCATCCCAACAAAAAGGATACAGGAACTTTGCTAACACCCTGGTATTCAGTTGGTACTGTGGATGGACGAAATCCTGCACCACTTGCAAACCAGGGCGAGCCATTGTTTCTTGGTATTTACAGGGAAATCATCATTCTAGGGTTTCATTGGCAGCGAAATGGATTTCGCAACCATCCCGGTATCAGTTGGCAGTGTTGCTCATTTCCCATAGACTTCTCAGAGGCCAACGAACCCGCTGCGCATTGGACGAAGCAATGCGGCTCCGAACGGAAAATCCGGTGGCTTCTCGTGAAAACCCCCGAAGCTCTCCACGGAAGCCAAGGTTTCAGCCATTTCAGCCACAATCAAAACCCGGGTAAATGATGGTTAGTAAGTGGCAGTCCCAGCCAAAAATAGTTTTGGCCGCCTTCTTATTCCTTGCATGATTCTGGGCAGACCATTTTAATACCGGGTTTTGATTCATTTGGCCAGATGTGACTTGAGTCACAGGGAGATCTGCCAGACGTGTTTTGCCCGCTGTTAAAAGATGGGAGTTTTCGGTCAAAAGGCGATGGCATGTGTCCCAAGTCTGCCGGGCAAGCAGTCAAGACTTGGTTGGAAAGCTCCAGCCTTTCTGCTTGAGCAGCCCAGTTCAATCTGGCGTCTCCATGGGCTTACCCCAAAATAGATACATCCTGGAAGCGGCACCAGCCGGTTGCTTCAACTTTTAGATTTAGAGGGATACCATCGTCGAGCTTTCAGCAAGAGATGAATGTACCGCATAGAGTCCCATGTAACGGTCATGGTGACCGCTGGAAGCGGGTTGCAAGTCAACCCTGAAACTTTTTGCCGTAGCTTGGCTTGACCAGCAGACTCTGCCCCCTGGACACATGCATACAGACAGACAGGCAGCTTCCCCACACTTAAAGGGACTATGTAAGTGTGTTTGGGGGGTAGATTGCTTTGGACCTTCCGTCTCAAAGACAGGGGGGACGCGCAGGATGGATCCATTGGGATCCATGGCCGTTTTGCTGCCAAGTGTTCTCTGCCAAAGGCACAGGAGCAAAAAGGGGTTCAATCGAAGCTCTGGATCGACTGAAATCCAGTGTTCATGTTTAGGGGGCTGCAACAAACCCAGAGGGGTTGTTGTCACCATACCACCTCGGGTTTCTCCTCCAAGTGGACCCAAGTTTGGGGTCCGGTCGGTTGGAGTCATAGTGTGGATGGACGAAATTATGCACCGCTTAAGAAACCCTGCAATGATGCGATTCCCGTAAATAGCAACAAACAGTGGCTTCCCATGGTTTCAAAGTGGTGCAGCATTTTGTCCATCCACAGTAAGATATTTCTCTTCAAGTGGTGAAAAGATGTCTCTCCGGTGCTTATTATATGGCAATGATTTTAACAGACCATTCAGTAGGATTTTGTTGGGGCTCCAACATCAAGGAGACAGTATAGGGGTATACATTTTTACTCAAGTGGTTTGTTTAAAGGGCGCAGTATGTCACACGTATGTTTGTCCCATGGTGGGGTAATATGCGTTCAAAACACCTCAAACACCTCATTGCATCACAGTGGAGTGAAAGTACATGGCACAACATTACCATGGCTTGATCATCCTTTGGACCCTGTAAACCCGTTGACATACTCCTGTTGGTTTCCCTTTAAGTCAACCTGAAAAAGGGCACCCTACGAATGAGGCGCACAATCCATTTCTCTTCTCTGAGTCAACCCCAGTGGTTGGGATGTGCCTGCTGGTGTTGATGCATGGGTCAGATGATTTCTCCCACGCTGAACACCGCCCTTTGGATCCCCCAGCAAAAAAACCCTTCAACAAAAAACCCTTTGGATCCCCCCCCCCCAAAAAAAAAACTTCAACGGATATCGATATCGACAGGAAGCCGAGAAGCGCTTTCGGGAGGTAGCAGAAGCCTACGAGGCGAACGCGGCCCCGCGGGGGGGGGGGTGTGAGATTTGGGTCGAAGGCCCAGACGTTTGGGGCGCGGGGAAGACCCTAAATATTCTAGGGGTTGATTCCTGGTCCATTCTTTTCAGCCATCGTTCTTTTCAAAACCAGCTGTTTTTTCCCTGGGGTTTTGGTGGTTTTCTAGAAAGGATCCCGGGAAGTGACCCCTAGAAATATGAGAGCCTTTGAATTTCAAAGGCCTCAAATCTTTGGTGCATGTTGCTAAGGGATGTTAGGACTGGAAAACTTTTTGCTATCTAATGGGTTTTCCGTATTAAACCACTAAAGGTTAAACTGTTAGCAGGGGAGCAGAAAGCAACCAAGAAATGAGGTCTTGGGCTCCTAGGGGTGAATAATTTCTTGTGGACAAAAACACAAACACTTCGCACCAGTTGGGGTTGGTGGGATCACCTCTCAAGCCAATTCTAGATCCCGGATTCTCTTTCGCTTGAGGTTTCAGGCCCGCAGGCCCATCCATAGGCACATCCGGGCGAGTTTATGGCTTTGGGGTCGAGTCAATTCAAACATTTCACACTCCCGGCAAGGCGCCCTCTGGATTTCGGGGTAAAAGCCGCGGGATCCAAGACATGTTTTGACTTCTCTCTAAAGGCTGGTGACTTCTTCTGTTTTTGTTTCTACTCAGGAGACGGATGCATTTTTCTCGCCCTGCCCGAGTCCTAAGTCAAGCACGTCCTATTTAATGTGAGGATCCCAGGCAGGCCGCAATCGAATGAGTTTGGTTCCTGCTAAATCCGAACGCACAGACCCCAAAATCAGCGGCTACGAATGAGTTGAGCTTGACTAGTAATGTGAACCAGAATAGAGTTCACTTTTTTCTTATTCTGGTTCCCCCTATTGTTTTAGTATGTTTTAGTGTACCAGAATAGAGTCCACATTATTGCTGGATGGTTCTTTGCGGGAAAAAGCAATTCAAAAACTGTTTTAAAAAAGTATAGTTCAAAAAAGCCTCTTCAGTCACCCCAACATCAGTTTAAACCATACCCACTTCTATTTACACCTGCAACAATTATCAAACAATGGCCCTTGAAGGCTGCAATTCCTGGCAACATCAGCCTTCAACTGCCCCAAATCAGGCTCCTGAAGGCTGCAGCTCCCAACCAAAATCAGCTTCCCTACCCCTGCAATCCCAGAAGCATCTCCTGCTCTGAGGATGCGAATTCTTTATTACACCTTGCTAAGTTGAACAACAAAGCACGATCAGGGTATCCCACACACCGCCAAAACCTTAGTGGACTAGTTGCCAGCCCCCAGACTCCCATCCCCAACTTTTTGCGTTTCCTTTCAAAGCTGCCCCCTTTCAACAATTGGCCCACCAAGCGACTTGGTCAGCCACAGATTCCCAAGCAATTGAAAGGCAAAGCCGCGAAAATGCGGACGCTTCTCGGCAAGTAGTATTCCAAAAAAGCTGCTCAGCAAGAAGTGGTTGCAAGACTCAAGTAATGTTCCAAAAGATGTGCTCAGCAAGAGGTGGTTGCAACACTAAAGTAGTTGTTCAACACGTTTGCTTAGCAAGAAGTGGTGATAGAGTAACGTAGTATTCCAAAACTATTCTCAGCAAGACGTGGTTGCAAGACTCCAGTAGTATTCCAAAAATTGTGCTCAGCAAGACGTGGTTGCAGCACTAACGGCATAATTCAACAAGTATGCTCATCAAGAAGTGGTTGCAAAACTCAAGCAGTATTCCAAAGAAAATGTGCTTAGCAAGACATGGTTGCAACAATAAAGTAGTATTTGAACAAGTATGCTCAGCAAGATATGCTTGCTAGGCTAAAGCAGTATTGGGTTTCCCGGGTCCTCCATTGTTTGGATGTTTGAAATTGTTGGGCCACGTTTCCGCCGCGTCCATTGTTCGGGGGGGGGGGGGTTATATGAAGTCCCAACATTGCGGAACAACTTATACTAAGTATTTCTTTGCAAGGAGTACAAGTGGAGTATGTCCACCTTATATCTCTGGGTCGAAGCACTCATGAGGATGGCTTGGCTTTTTGGGGGGGGGGGAAGGTCTAGGTGCCTCCTTAGAAGGTACTTGGACCCTCTGGGTATGTTGGGGCTCAGATCACAGGCAAGCCACTACAAGAGGCCACCAGCCATTTTCCTGCAGTTTTACAAAGGTTACCTACACAACGAAATAGACTCACGAAGGAAGCCACCCACATGTGGCACATAACTA